AAAGAACTGCAGTTCTACATGCTGACTTCCATATCCATATTTTTTTTTTTTGGCATAGAGAAAAGACCAGCCAATTTTCACATATCTTTTTTTGCTGTTGTTGTTATTATGCCATTAATTAATAACACTAATCACAGTGTTGGCAAGGAAAGAAACAGCTAATAAGCACACGAGAAGTATGTAAACAGCAATCTAAAATGATAACTACATTGATGATCTTGGCACAAGTGTTCTTACATGCTGTTGTTCAACAAGATGGCACAGTTGAGTAACACCTTCTGCCTTAGAAGTCATGAAGAGCATGCCTGCTTTCATGTGTTCAAACTAAAACAGTGAAAGTGCAAAATTTTAAAGACTTTGGCTTGAAATTCCATAAGTGTAACTGACACTATTAACACAAGAATATCAGATACTCTTATTATTTGTTGGCTTAAGTTTAATTAATGTTACCAGATCTGCCTTGACTAAGCAATGGCTAATTATATCAAGGCTGAATTTTCTCATGTCTAATTTTCATAAAAAGCCTCAAAGCCGAATTCCTCTAATGTTTAGTGGCAGGTTTTGAACTTAAGCCAAACAGTATAACCAATGCTTTTTGATGCAATACACCATCCACTTCTGGGGCAACAAACCTTGATTTATGTGAAGTTCAAGGGTATGTATAATACTTCTTTACCTTTTGTTTTCAGACTGCTTTGGTCAAGCGGAGTCCACCTTTTCAGGGACATACGGCATGGCCCAAATCTATGACTGTGTAGTTACCAAAACACAAGAGCACACTTGCACTTTCAACCATGCGTGTTTCTGCAGTCCAGTTTATGCTGTTAAAAGTGATGCAATAATTAAGCCAAGAAAATGAATATGATTTCCTGTAATGCTTAACCTTTACAAATGCCAGATCTGGGAAAATCTAAAGTCGAAGCTTTTTCCCTAGACAAAAGGCACTTAGCTCCATCAATATGTACTTCCAGTCAGGAATTCCATGAACAATTAGTGTTAATATATTGTAAAGTAATTGACTTTTTGCCAAGGAGAAAGACAGCTTTATGACTCAGCTCACTTAGGCCAACATCAAGGAGACTGACATTTATCAGAGCTGTCATTGTTAGGCTGGGATGAAGGCACTCCTTTTAACTGGAAACTATTGCATGAAATAATCTGTTAACTCATACCCAGTAGAGTATATCACAGCAAGATATGGAGGAAAACCATTTCTCAACAATTATTTAAATTTAACTTTGCAAGATTAGCCAATAATAAATGACTTCTAGCTAAACCAGTAAATGTAATATTCAAATCAATGTTTTCCTCTTTTCCTTCACATTAAGTCAGCCTATCACTAAAATCCACTCATAATAAAACCTTACAGGAACAAATAATAAAATTTGGGTTCTGTAGTTTTCTGACTTCAATGGGGGCAAGAAATCTCTTATAATCCAAGCCAGAGGAACAGTAAAAGCCAAACTACTGCTACAGCTTCTTTCTGAGGCCTTCCACTTCCTTATGACAAAACCAATTACATAAAAGATCACTGTCCTCGCAAATGCTAGTGTGTATCAGCTCGTTATGTGTGAAAATTTATTTAATTTGAATAAGCTGTATTTGTATAACTGGAAAGAGTATTTCTCCAGAATTTCAGTACAGAATTCTTTAAGTTTGTCCTAGTAGTCTCCATCTGTATTCTCTCAGTGTCACTTAGGATAATGCAGGAGCCAGGAAGAGAGATGCTCTGGTGTACCTCATTGTTACAAACAGAAAAGGTGAAGGCTGGATCTTGCTTTAGTGATTATGAGATAGTGGAATTCAGGATCTTGAAAAGAGGCAACAAAGGAAATGGCAAGATCATAACCACTGCCTTCAGGAAAACACATTTTGGCATCTAGAGCCACCAGCTTGGAAGAATTTCTTAGGAGACAGCCCTGGGGAGAAGGGTCCACGAGCTGACTGATTTTTAAGAATGACCTTTTCCAAGCTCAAAAACCTCCACATACAGGAAACCAAGAAATAGTAGGATGAGCTCCTGGCAAAGCTCAGACATGAAAAGGAAACACACATGAGGTACTAGCAGGACAAGTGAATAAGAAACACTATCTGAGTTGTTTGCATGTGGTTAAGAAAGCCAGAGCCCACTTGGAGATGAATCTGGCAAGATGTGTGAAGGGCAACACGAAGGGCTTCCAGAGGTATAGCAGCAGCAGAAGACAAGGGCAAATGTGGGCCTAGTGCTGTGTGGGGCTGTCAGGAGATTCAGTAGCAAAGGACAAGCAGGGTCAGGAATATTTATGCAGACTGGTCATACACAAATTTATGGGACATAATGGAATGTGCCTGCAAGGAGTGGTATGTTCTGTAGAAGCTACTGCTGTCATTGTAGGGTCATTCTTGATAATCTTTGAATAGGCATGGTGACTGGGGGAGGTTCCAAGGACTGAAAGAATGCAAAAGTAGCTCCTTTCCTAAAAAGGTTAAAAAAAGGAGATACAAGGAACTATGGGCTGGTGGGCATGGAACTATGGGAAACCCTGAGAGAGCAAATAATTCTGGAAACCATTTACATTAGGAAGAAGAATGTGATTGCAAGTAGTCAGCATGGATTAATAAAGAGGAAATTAGGCCTGCCCAACCTGACAGCCTTCTACAAAGAGATGACTGGCTTGATGGACAGGGGGGAGAGCATTAGATACTGTTGATCTTAATTTTAGCAAGACTTTCAACACAGTCTCCTGTAATGCTCTCACTGATTAAGTACAAGTAGATAACTAGGCAGTGAAACTGAAAACTGGCTGAACTGTCAGGCTCAAAGGGTTGTGATTAGTTCAGGATGTATAGCTGAAGGCCCACCACAGTCCAGCTGGAAGCCTGTTTCTAGTAATGCACACTAAGGGTTCATACTCGGTTCAATACTATATAAATATATATTTTGATTAATTATCTGAACAATGGGGAAGAATGCTCCTGTGGCAAGTTTACAGATACTCCAGATTTGGGAGTGGTTGATATGCCACAGGATCATGCTGCTATTTAGAGGGGCCTCCACCGACTGGAGAAAGAGGCTGACAGGAACCTCATGAAGTTCAACGTAAGAAAACATCAAGCCCTACACCTGGAGAGGAATAACCTCATGCACCAGTACAGGCTTGTGAGCTGAATGGCTGGAATAAAGTTGCAGAATAGACTCTACAAAGCTGACTGGATTGAGTAATGCATCCTTGCAGCTGTGAAGACCAACAGCCTTTTGGGTGACACTAACAAGAGTATACACCACCAACATGTCAAGAAATGTGTTTATTCCTTCTATTTAGCACTGATGACATGACATCTGGAGTGTGGGGTCCACCTCTGAGCTCTCTAGTACAATAAAGCAATGGTCATATTGGAGTAAATCTAGGAAATTGCTACAAAGATGAATAAGGGATTATAGCATTTGTCATATGAGGAGAGGCTGAGAGCCAAAATTGTTTAGCTCGGAGGAGAGATTTTTTCCTGATGTCACCTCTGGGCAGCTGCGGGAAATGTATGCAGACTTGTTTCCTTCAAGTTTCATCAAGCAGATGCTATGCAAATGAGGTGCTGCTCTTAAAGGAATTTAAATGAGCAGAGACACACCTTTCCTGGTGATCAGATCTATGATCTAAGTCTACTGATTCTTGTCAGGGTTTCTCTAGTTATCACAACAGCAGCTGTGGAATGATGAAATATCTGCATCAACATTTAGATTTCAGTCCACTCACTGATTCTGTACAAAGACTTGTAGATTCCATTCCTGGCTGAATTCAATACATACAAACTAAAGTATTTGCTTTTTTTTAATCTGTCCTTAGAGATTTTACATTGTCAGCCACTCCATGGCCCACTCATGTTGACCCCTGTGTTTTTGTGTACACTCATAACCCTTACATTCCCTATTGCCTCATCACAAGGCCTCTACAGAAACTGATGGATTCAGGTTTGAACAATTTCAAAATCAGAAGGAATGTAGATTTAGGAGTTACTGCACAGAGAATGCTTTAGCTAGTGGGATTCTATGTAAAAGCTAATGCCTGTACTAAGGCTATCACCACTAAGTGTGACTGCTCACCGTGGGTGTATGGACAGCCTCAGCTTTCCTAATTGAACTGCATCCCTGGGAAGACTTTGACTCAGGGCCACTTAATCGTACATCTCAAATGGCCTGAAATAACATATAGCTGGCTATATACCAAAGTGATACACAGGTGTTTGAGCCTGTTTAAAAGAGTCCTGGACAGAAGATAGAGTCCCTACAATATTTCAGATACTTCACTGACTTAAATGAGTATCCATGAATTGTTTTTTTGCCAGTGTAAAACAGTCCAGGTTTGTTTTGTATCTTCCCTTAAGGGCTCTGTAAAATAAACAAATGAAAGATTAGAACTTTATTTTGATGTAGGTGAGAAATATTATATATGCATTGCTGTTGATTAAGAGAAGTCACTATGAAACTGCTCATTTTTACAGACATCAGTAACTGACACAATCAGGACTGCTTCTGAGCACACTCACTCTGATCTATTAGCCACTGAATAGTGTTCCCTTGTCTGTTTTAAATCTAGGTTTTTTACATCTAATTTTTAAGTGTAAAACTGACAGTGGAATAGTACAGTTTATTTCTCTATGATTGTACATCGTTCTTTTCCTTCAAAGAGGAATTGTATTCAAGCATTACAATACATTAAAAATCAGAAATGGTATTTGTTTCAAGTTTAGGAATTAAATATGTATAATTTCTTACTTTACATTTGCTTCTTTTTCTGCATTAGGTCTGAGAAGTTGTTGAAAAATTTCCTGCAGCCTGAAATGACAGAGAGCCTTGTAAAAAGGACACCCCTATTTTACACCCAAAAAATATTGCTTAATAGGTATTAATCTGAAGAAATATATTGTATGGTAAAGTTTTTCACAGACTACCAACATTCTGAGAACCCAGAGAGCATTTAATTTTTGTCTGAACAGAAGCACCTAATGTCAGTGCACATGCTACAATGGAAACTGTAAGACAAATACAAAGTTTTGGCATCTGTGTTACCTGTATGTATCCTGTAGCATCTGGTGTGGTGTTTGCCACTCTTCTAGTTTCTTGCTGCTCATCTCTGAACATAAGAGCTCGTCCACTTGTTTCTAATTCACCTTTCCTTTCTATCTGGAATGCTCCTACAGAACTTTGTACTGAAAGGACTGGAGTGCAGCTGGACATGAATTTTTTTCCTCTAATTGGAAGCACATTAAAGACATCCATTGGGCAAAACATCACTCTCTTCTATCCAGACAGGCTTGGCTACTACCCTTACAAAAATGAAATCACAGGAGAGGCATTCCATGGAGGACTCCCTCAACTCTCACTGCTGGAGAAACATTTAAAAAAAGCCAAAGAGGACATCCAGTTCTACATTCCTTCAGATGAACAACTTGGATTGGCTGTCATTGACTGGGAAAACTGGAGACCTGTGTGGATAAGGAACTGGGGATCAAAAGATATTTATAGACAGGAATCCATTGAGCTAGTTCAGCAGAGAGATCTCAGTCTATCAGAAGCTGAAGCCAGAGCTATAGCTAAAATGGAATTTGAATTTGCAGCAAAATCATTTATGTTGGAAACTTTGAAGCTGGGCATAGAAACTAAACCAAATCGTCTGTGGGGATATTACCTTTATCCAGACTGTTATAACTATGATTACAAACAAAACCCACACAATTATACAGGAACCTGTTTAGATATTGAAATAGAAAGAAATAATGAACTTAACTGGTTGTGGGAGAAAAGCACAGCACTTTATCCATCTATCTATCTAGAGACAGCCTTAAAATCTTCCAGAAATGCTCAACTCTTTGTTCGCAACAGAGTTCAAGAAGCCATTAGAACATCCCATGTCTCCAACTCTAGTCATCCCCTCCCAGTTTTTGTATATACACGTCCAGTATTCACAGATGTCTATGAGGAATATCTCTCTGAGGTGAGTGAAGCTAGACCTTAAGAAGTTCAATTTATATGGCAAGAAATTACCAGGTGACACTTATTTAGCAAGTATACTATACAGCATCAGAAAGAAGTGTACAATTTTGCCTAAAATTTAAATTAATCCATCAAAGAAATTTGACCAAACAGAACACTAAGAGGTCTATTTTCAAACCTTTCTCATTATATTTATCAGTGTTTTATGCTATGAGTTGTCCTCACATGTAACAAAATATCACAAAACTAGAAATCATATTTATCACACTTAGAGGAAAGAAATACGAGCAGTCTTGCAAAGAGAATTAGTAATACTGGGCTCACCCACTGCCTGCTTTTTAGGTTATAAGAAAAAAAATAAAAGTAAAATGGGGCCTTTATTTCCTTAAAAAGTGTTTGAAGCTAGTGAGAAAATTCTGTCCTTAGCTGTACTCAAATAGCTTTTGAAATGGTATTTCAGCATGACATGGGTTAGTTAAGGTTAGGCTCTGATTAAAATCCAATCATCTTATTGCAGTTCTGTCTACACTTTTCCTATCACATTTTTATAGGCATCCACCCTATCAGAGATACCACCACTCTGGGGAATCTCTTCTTGGTGTTCCAGCCCATGAGGAAGGGGAAGTTAGTCCTGGTGATGCCATTCTGTCTGGTGTCCTTCCACATCCTGGACAGAGCATTAGCAAGTGTTGTCCCCAGCCCTGTGGATACTTTCAGGGAGTAAGGGGTGCTCTCAGGGGCCCTGCTGGGATCCTAATGAATAACTGAAATCCTATAATCGTTACTTTTTTTTTTGTTGTTGTTGTTGTTGTGCCCTACACTAACTTGTTTTTTTGTTGGTTTTTTTCACTATCATGGTCCTCTCCCATCCCATATAGGCCTTACCATTTTCCTAGGACTGGGCTAATAGCTGACCCCAAAAGGAGAACTGAACAGAAACAAACTTCCCAAATAATTCTCTGGAAAAGAGGGATTCCTACAGTGGAAAGTTTTTTCTCTTGCTACTTTTCTGTTTTAGCACTTTCTGGTAACAGAAATTAAGCTAAAAAAAAAACCCAAAAAAACACCAAACAAAAAAAAGCTATGCTTTCCAGTATCTTTATATCACAGGATTACTGAAACCAGTTGCTACCAACTTTGAGCAGCCAGGAGACAATGAAGCAAAATAAGCTTTAACATGGTTGGAGGAGTGTATGTATGCCTAAGCACTGGCTTAGTTTTACAGCATTGTTCTTCTAACCTGATGGCGTATATAAATTGGATATTGTTGGCAATATTTTCAGCTACCACCTGTGCAATCCAGGAAAAAATTGTGCAATTGAGAACAGGACATTTGCATTGTGTATCATTGCTTGCTGTCTTCAAAGTAGTTATTTTGGACATGTCATTCACTATATGCTTTTTTTCATTTGCCATTATGTTATAGGTTACTTATATTTGTATGGTTCTTTGCATATTTTCCTTCAGGATGACCTGGTAAATACCATCGGAGAATCTGCTGCACTGGGTGCTTCTGGAATTGTGATCTGGGGTGATATGAATTTAACACAAAATAAGGTATGCTAGATCAATTATTATATGTATTTTTTAAGGAGAAATAAAGTGAAAAGGATGTAAAGCATTATCATCATTTACATTGCATCTTCTACTTTTTAAATAATGACTCCATATTGCCACCAGTTTTTTGTAGTCAAAACCCAAGTACATCTGAGGTTTATTAAGGTCATCATTGACTACACAGAACAAGAGTTTCAGTGCATCAGTACAGTTGACTCAGGGTAACTGGACAAGTTACTATGATAACCATAGGCAAGTTAGTTCTCGTTTAATTAGTATAAGAAAGAATTCCTATATCTTCACTTCATTTTAGTCATGAAGTAAAGAAAAAATTACTTGGGCTTGCCAAGAAAAATTTTTGAAATACCCTTCTGCTTTTTGGAGTGGTAAACTTGGCAACAATATTTCAAGCACTAGGAGAAGTCAGTCTGTGAAAATACAACCCTAGCCTGTTCTGTGTGTTTTAAATACTACTTTGATTAATTTCATTGTATGAAACACCTGAGTTATAAGAAAAAAACCTGTAGTTTGTTTTAGGAAGGGGAAATACATAGTTTGAGAAACTGTTACAAGGATGTTCTCACAATTCTTTCCAGGTAATGCATTCATAAGCAGGCAAGTTAGATTTAACAAACTATTGTACAGCAAGACTCTTGTGAAGTCTTCTGAGTGCAAAGAACCAAAACACTTCATCCCTGCCAGACCTCCTGTCACAGAAAACATAGCTAAATACTCATCCACAGCTCTGTAAGGTTGCTATTCCCCAAAGCATCCCACTTTGAGTTTTTTGTATGCACCTCCCTTTGAGAAAGGGTATCAGTTGCACCTAGAACTTTTCAGCCCATTATCTCAATATCAGAACATAGATGAGCAGCAACTTTTATTGTCTGAATTTTGAAATTCCTGTGGGAAAAAAGAACTCTCCACAGCCCAATCAGACTATGTGTTTGTGCACTAATTGCACCTGATTTTTTACAGCTTTCACAGTCACTAGCGTTTCAGCAATGAAATATTACTGCAAGCCTCACTTCTGCATCAACCAAAATTTCTTGGAAGTATTTTTATATATACCTAAAAGAAAACCAAAAAACCTACACACATCTTAGATTCACCAATATGTCCGTGAGTATAAATATTAGACATATCTACATGTGGTATTGGGCAAATGCCCATAATGTCAGAAACAAAGAAAGAGTTACCAAACCTTCTGGTTATTAAACTGTGCCATGAATGCACAGAACATATTCCAATTTCATGATCAGTTAGAACAATCAATTATCTTAGCATACCTTCAATTTGACCACCATGCTTTTCATTTAAAAATGCCATGAAACCTCCCAGCCCTGTAGCCAAGTTATTCAGGTCAGGGGAAAGCTGAAAAGTCTCACAGAGATTACTTGATAGAAAAAGTATTTGTTTAAGCTGAAGAAGTGAGGTTTTTTCCCAGATCCATTCAAATTATTTAAGACTTAAAAAAAGGAACTTAAATTCTTAATGAAACTTCTTTAAATGCATCTGATTTAAAAAGCTACATAAAATATAGAGATGAAATGAAAGCTTTAAGACAATTGCTTTCTGATCTAAGTGATTTTTGTAACATCTCCAGCAACTACACAACATAAATTTGCTGTGATTCTTGAATTTTATAACAGCTTCTCAGATAAACTTGCTTCCAACAGCAAGTTATAGCTATTATCAAACCCTCAGTGGAAAAATTCATAGATATATACTGTGGTACTGTTATTAGAATTACAGCATTTTAATGGTTTCCATACTAAACTGTGGAGGTATAATGTTCTTTTCACAGAACACCTGTAGAACTCTGGACAACTACCTTAGGAAGACTCTGACCCCATACCTCATCAATGTCACGATGGCAACCAGATTATGTAGCCAAGTGCTATGCCAAGACTCTGGTGCTTGTGCACGGAAGAAATGGAATTCCAGTGACTATCTTCACTTGAATCCTGAGAATATTGCAATTCAAATGGCAAAAGATGGAAAATACACTTTACAAGGGCAACCATCATATCAGGATCTGCAAACGTTCATAGAAAAATTTGATTGCCATTGTTATGCAGGGCACAACTGTGAACCTAGAGCTGATATAAGTGACATCCATTACCTCCATGCTTGCATTTCAGAAGATATTTGCATTCAGATGTCCTCAAATTCATTTTCTAACATAGAAGACTCTGAAGAAAAGATCCTGTCTAACAGAACTGCATTTTCATTTACCTCTGAGAGTAAGGTGACATTATCTACACATCCTGAAACAGAAGATATCCAATCTACCTTTGGAAATAATATACTGAATATAACAACTGCAGAATATAACTCTGTTACAACTGCCAGTAGCCATGTTTTAGGAGAAAATGATACTCGTACTTTCAATAGTTCTTCATCCTATAAGATAAGGATGTTTAATCTGTTTCACTTAATTCTTCTTTTGAGAACCTTAATACAAATGACCCATGAAAGTGAGAATATCCTTTTCCCTGACTATATTTGAAATTCTAAAGGTTTTATTTACAAAACAAACAAATTCCTGAAAGGCTTATTGTCTTATCTGTATCAGGTAACCTTTTCTAATCCATAGGTGTCACTTCAACCTGAATGTATTTCTTCAGTTTAGTTCTATAAACTAATATTTGTGCCAAAGATATATTGGTCTATATATACTGACTATGCCATATGAGAGAATAATCCAGAATAAGAAACTTTTTTACAGCTTACATTTTTAACTATTATACTTGGAAAAAAGTAATTGTTGACAACGCTCTTTCGTGTATTTCAAATTAAGAAATTAAATATATAATATATAAAATAAGTCATCAGGTTTGATGCTCTATGCAAGAATTAATTTCATTCCATATAAATGGAATTATCTTTTAAAAATATTTGGCTTAACTTTAGATCTGTGGAACTCTGCAGCATAAAATTTATCTGATAAATGTAATGTTCCTCTACTTTTCATAAAATCTTTAGGGATCCTGTAGTGTTTTTTTTTAATGAAATACATTTGTAACTCTGCAAAAGATTCTAATTTCAGTGTAAATGTTGACTTTGAATATTACAGCTTCATTATTTAAAATCTGAGCTGTAGCAGTTTATGCTTTCTTCTCACAGACCCTCCCCCTTATTTCAGAAGTCCCTTTCCTGGTTTACAGTTGTTTCGTCTTGCCAATACTCACAACTCATGCGCTCTGCCTGTGCATTCTAGCCAGCACAGGTCACTAGTCCTAGATTCTCCATCCAGCTGTCCTTAGGAACTGGATAGGGCTGTATATGACACTTGGACAGAAGTCTGTGCATGGGACTGTATGCTTTGTTTCTTTCTGAGGAGTCTCATTTGGTGAAAACCAGTTTGTTCCTTAGGAAAACTCAGCAGTAGAGGCAGAAAAATAAGTGTCACTGGGCACCTGAGACAATATGAGAACCACCCTTCAGATTCAGAACTTAAAGTATTTGCTTAATACTATTCCATTGCCAAAATCAGTGTGACAGTAGCAGAGATACCTCAGAAGAAAATTATGCCCAGTATCATATCTGGAGTCTAGTTATGATTAACATATAGTCAGTTTAAGCATTTGAAGCAATTAACTGCAGTTTATTTGATAAATTAACCTTTCAAATTATTATGTCAGATGTGTAATAGACAGTTTGCCTTTTGATGGGTGAAGGGTGGCTGCTGGCATGGATTAAAAATCTCCCTAGAGCCAGGCATGATCTGCAAAAATAATTCAACACCTCCCACAGATATAGCCTGCCTCACTAATGAAAATAACCAGGACTTCAATACAGTGGCCATTTACTTATAAAAAGTTCATTCCTTAATCCAGCAGAAAACATGTATTATATACATTTTCTTTGACTTTTCAGGTTGTTGGTCATAACAGAGATGCAGAAAATAGATGAAGCCTTTAACTTAACATGGAGAAATAATGTTTGATGGCTTTTGAACAGCAAGTTATCAAGACGAAGTGACAATTTTCTCATCCCAGTTACAGTGATTAGTCCACGAGTCAAAGCTGTTTCTGCCATTAATGTTCCAAGTGGAATCATGAATAAAAATATATATAAGTAGCAGATTGTTCAGCACAAAAGAATCCATATGGTTTTGACCACCTGTGTAAAAACATGCTTTTTTCCACTGGAGCTTTGATACTGGTTATTTCATCTTGGGTAAAGAAAAGGCATGGTATCATAACTCCTTTGCCTGAACTCCCTTCACACTGCATTTGTGGTAACTATCAAACGGTCTCTAAAAGCTGGAAACATCACTGGTAATGCTTTAGCAAAATTTGTATGACTTACATGAAATTTTATTTTTTTCACAAGGCTTTGACATGGTTAAACTGAAAGATAGTGATCTGTAGCACTTTGTGGTAAGACAGCTTGCAGGTTCACAAAATCTGCAAGTCTTACCATGAATACTTTTGATTATCAGCCAGGTAATAGCAAGCAGAAAATTTGTGACGATTCAAGCAAGAAATCACCAAAAAAGGAGGAATAAGAAGATAAAATCACAGGAGAGTTGAAACACCACCAAGGACCTCCCAATGATTGCAGAGGAGTGAACTGCAGAAGTGAAAGAGTGAAGCAGTGGGGAATGTGGACTGACCAGTCTCTTCCCATTCAGCATTTTTATCTACCTGTTACTTAATATTGACAACCTTTCCCCAAAGCTCACTGTAGATATAAAGGAATACACTAATTGATATGTTAGATCTGTTCATCCAATCCCATCTCTTTTTTATTCTTGAGAACAGCCAGGACCAGAAAAGTAAAAGGAAGATGAGAGGAAAGCAGTCTATTGCAATAAACTGTGCCTTCCTAAGATGCATATGTAAGTAGCTATCTACCTTGTGCTGTGATGCACAATGCTTTGCCAACCACCTTTCAAATGTTCATTCAGGATTATTTATGTTACCTATGTGTGTCTGCAATTCATATTTTAAATCCTACAGACTTCAGGATTTAGGTCTGCTATGTGTTAAATTACAGTATTTTCAAAATATATTATTTTTCTCTGTATTATATTTGTCTTACCTATATTCTATGATAAAGAGTCACCATGGAGTCAATGAGTCTCCACAGAGTAGAAGGAAAGAAGAGGTGTTATGCATTGCACTGCTGGTGACTATCATATGTTCAAAGCCAAATTTATTTTCTCGTGAAGTGGACCCATTTCCGAAGAGATTTTCTTCTATCCACTGTATTGCCTGTAACCATTACTTAGCCTTATAGTTTTCATTGCTTGCATTCCTGTAATTTTGAAAAGATTAAATACTAGAGGAACAGTTCACTTTGATTGCCATTCATTATTTTGTGTTTCTCCTTTCTAGAGACCTCAGGCTGACAATACTTAGGGACAGGGAAATGCTAAAGTGGGTTTGATGAAAGGATCTGTTTAAGTGAAAGCTGTTAAATACTCTCCTTCAATGTTTTGACATTATGCTAAAATTTAAATTTAAATTCTGCTTCTCTATCTGAATAATATGGATCTAGTTTATTGTGGTGCTTATTCTGGGACATACAAAGATATTCACACTTCAAAGGGAGATGGCAACTGGCACTTAAAGAATCTGAACAGAATAAGAACAGTCTAGTCCTCACCTTACAGTTTTTTTGCTTTTTTGGTAAAAATAACAACATGGAGAGATGTTTTGAGAGGCCAGTAAGATCACTATGTAGACAGCCTAGGATGTGACCAGAATCCTGAAGAGTTCAGTAAAATTTGCTTTATTTTCTGCATCACACTGGGATACCCTGTTGTAAATATATATATCAGCAAAGAATTGTACAGAAGATTTCATACCTGTGCAATATGTTCTAGAAAACTTCCAGACAGATTAGATTTCTACATGTACCTATCCATCACTTTTCAGTACAAACAACAAGACAGCAGAGACTGTTCCATAATTTTAAAACACATTCAGTTATGTAACACTGATGACCTTTTTAAATCCCACTCTTTAAGCATACACACCTAAAAGTTACTTGAAAGACATTTTCATACTGTGCTTGTGCCAGGTTTTTTGCCCTGGCAAATAGGGAGCAAAATTAGGGCCTGAGACTTCAAGTTAAGTTTCATTTCAAAAAAATAACATTGATACAAAGAAAAAAAGTTTATTGTTTGTCTTAAAAAATTACTGCTTTATTTCATCTTTCCTAAAAACATTTTCGTTGTTTGTTCTTGTATTTTTTTTCCCATGCTACTGAAAGCTGTTGTATAAATGGCTGGAAATAGATTCAAAGAGCTTACTAGTCTAACTTCATCCCTTACCACTTCTAAATGATTCCCAATGTGTGGCTATCCCAGAACTCCCTGTCTGTTTTTCTGGAAATACTTAATTGAATATTAACCTTGCTTCACAATATTTTTCATTATGATGATGATCATGTAAACATGCTGTATTCAACATAAATTCTAAGCTTTTGTGTATACCAGTCAAGGATCAGGGTCCTTACAGTATAGTTCTTTCATACAGCTGTTCCAAAACTCTTGCAGCTACCCTTCTCTTCACTGTCACTGCCACTCAGGACTGCAAAAGCTTCTCACATTTGTTGTCCCCTTGTTATATATAAGTAAAGGGCAAGAAGGTAAAGGGCACCAATCAATATTAACATCCTTAAGGGAATAACTTTTGATTTAATTATGTTCACTACCATGGTGTATTGATTACAGGTTTCTTTGGCCAGCAGTAATTAGATGAGATTTTCAATGTATGCTTGTATAAGCCTTAGTTTATAACTGGTAAGGTATTTTATTGATTAGTAATCAGACACAAACAGACAGCATGAAAGTTAATATGGATCATTATTTTATATATTCAACCAACATTTTGGCTCTGTGCACACAATTCCAGAGGGTGATGTTCAACACCATATATATCTGGATCAAGGCAATATGCAGTCACCTGTCTCTGCCTTTGTTTTCATATCAGGAAATATATTTATTTAACAGAACTCTTCAAGATCCTGCAGAAGAAATATACCATATGTTGGCAGTCTCATGGACCACACTGCTCCCTCAGGCTACTAGCAGGTTGAGAAAAGATGACAGCTTGCCTGTGTCAAGTGATGATTTCCTGAGGCAGGGACAAAACCTGCATTTAAAGGGAGGCTAAGGGCACTCTGCAGTCCCACAATGCTAATATGGTTAATGTCACAACAGAACACAAAGCGCTTTATTACTGGGGCAGCTGGTAATTAAGGGCACTGGACTAATAACAGACTTAGGCTGCCTGTAAATCCTATGCACTATTTCAGCATGAACTGCATATACCAAGCTTAGGGGTCCAAATCACAGCATTTTTGATTTAAAAACCTTAATCTGCCACTTTGCCAGTCCTTACAGAAATCCTTCTTCACCTTTTCCCTCACCAGAGCATGACAAGAATTTAGGGCACATACTAGAGCCTCTGGGGCTGCAGCCAGCAGAGGGCACAGATGACACATGCAGACACTGGTGGGTACCTCACTGAAAAGTTCAACATGGTCTTTCTGCTCCTTTCAGCAATGCAGCCGCTTGACTTTGGCCTACAAACAGAAAAGATGACTAGTCACTCCCCAGTGTAGTGCTTCACTAGCAGAAATGACTGATTCTACAGGTTTTTTCCCCTAAACATCTGGTATATCAGGACAAACCTGAATATGCCAGTGAAGCAAGCTTCTCATGCTCTCTTCTCCGGAGATTTTATTCAGCTGAAAGTTTCTTCTCCTTAAGATCTGCCCAGGGAGGTGGTTGAATCACCATCCCCGGAAGAAATCAAGAAATAATGAAATGTGGCTCCTAGTGCTATGGTCTAATTTACAAGGTGGTGATCACTCAAACATTGGACTCAATGATCTTTGGATGTCATAATGATTCTATGATCTTCAGCTGTCACTAAAGTGAATGCTTAAAACACAGATAATGTGCTCGAATCTCTTTGGTAGTGCTCTGAAGTACATATCTCAGTCTCAAATACCTTGTTTCTCCCCAAATACCAAAGATCTGGATATGCAATGTTGGTTCAAGTAATTTTGCTGACCATGTGTTTATTACATCTCCACCATTGTCACCTGAAACATAAGATACTTTTATAAATTTTTATAGTACAATTAAATCTCTGCAAAGGAGTAAGCTGCTTTGTTATCCCTTCAGAGCACCTGGAAGACTCAACAATCTGGGTACTGCATGGTCCCATAACACTCCTAAACAGGTCCTGCAGTGTGTAAAACTCAATAGAAAAGACAGAAAAGTAAAATATTTTATCAGTCAGTGGTTAAATGTTTCCCAGAAAGATTAAGTGGCTTGTCTGTCTACAGCTACACAGGATAACAGGATAGCCTTTAGCTATGGAAACAAACGTCCTCTGAGCTGCAAATTGTAGCAAGGCAGCAATACGTTAACATACAATACTCTATTACCAAACAGTATGTAAAATAAAGAATGCCTTTTATAATCATACAGTTTTGCAAAATATGTAACAGATTTTAGAATAATATAACAGAACTTTAAACTTGGACAAACCCTCAAGACACTATAAAAGACTTCAGTCATTGGACAACTGAATTAATGTTTTAGAATTTATCTGTGCATCTTCTGCCAGCCTTTTATGAGGATATGCCTGAAATGTATTTTTTCAAAGTTACTATACCTACAATGTATTGTTAAGTAAACTTCCAGCACTATGAGACTCGAGCACTACTTAAAATTTAATATTTCTTGCAAAAATAGAGACTGCTCAATTTTATGTGAGTTGTCCTCCATGCAGTAATCAGTACCACTTCATTCCCAGAAATCACTCTCACAAATGGACTGTATTTTACACATCAGCAGATGAGGGGATATGGGGAAAATTCCTATATTTATCAGTTTTAAGGCAGAAACATTTCATCTATTCACCCAAATTTCAGTAACTGCTTTGGCCAAAAGAAGTTTTTAAAAGTTGCAAAAATGAAAGATTAGTGATTTGCCTCTGAATTATTTCCCAGTCCTTCTACCCATCCAACCAGAATAAACCACTTCATCAACTTTTCCACCCATTTCCCCAGTGATTTCCACAGTTGGTCGTAGTGTAAATGGTGAACTGGCTGATACATTTGTGACTGCTGGTGAGGATGTACCTACTTATTGAGTAGCCATATGGCAACTACTCAGAGACAAGTAAACCAGCAGAGTTCTGCTACACTCTTCCTCCATGCAGGATCTGACCTGGTTCCTTTTACTCTGCTACCAATTTTCTAGAAACTTCAAGAGCTACATGGTGCTTTGAAACTGCTGAAGACACTATTACTGCCACAGTTTTAAGAGTGGCATCCAAAATTCTGACTCCACCCAAATTACCAATGCTAGGGAACAGCATTAGGAGAAATAGACTTCCTCTATCCAGAACAAAATCTGATGCTACTGGGGGGGAGCAAAAAAAAAAAAAAAAAAAAGAAAAAAAAAAAGAAAAAAAAAAAAGAAAAGAAGAGAAGAAAAGAAAGAAAAAAGAAAAAAAAAAGGCCTTCTTTTGTTTGTTTGAGACTTGCTACTGAACATAAAATCTGGACAAAAGCAATCAGATTTAAGAGAAGCAATAAAAAATAATTCCCTAACATTACCATTAGGTGGCAGGACCAGCTCCAGTGTCGAATTTCGTTTTGGAAATATGCAATTGAATTTACAGGAGCAATAACTCAGTAATTTCAGAATTACACTAGGAGTCATTTTGAAATCTATTTTGGTATCTAAAACCAGGGTATGAAAAACCATGTAGTTTTTCACCTCTACAGCTAGCCCACAACCAACTGCTCTTAAGAGCTTTGAGATTTTGTGGTCCGACTGAGATAACCAGTGAAGTTTTGTCACAGACTGCATTCTCTAGATTGCTGAATTATGTCTAAAAAGACGAGGAAAATCAAATTTCAAAATGCTTTGATGTTTTCTAGTGAAACATGTGCCATGTTTCACTAAAAAAGGTATCCACACTAAATGTGCATGTGCTTTTATGCCTGTATGAATGTCCTTCATCAACCAATACCACCAGCACTGTAACCTTTCCAGATCATCACATTTCAGTGGCAAGTTCTGAGACTGGCAGGTGGATCCAGGAGAAGTGTTAGCCTTGTGTTTGTGGGTAAAACAAGCCTTTCTCTAATGCTCTGTGTCAAGACTGTATGCTAAATGTCACTTATTCAGTGCAGGCAGAAGGTTCTTGGTGAAGTGGCACGTCTCATCATTGATCACAACACAAAACCACCATCACAAGCATCTCTTGCGGCAAGGAGTCATACTGCGGGTGATTTTCCAAAAGGTATCAAGGGAGAAACAAAATAAAACCATGGTAAGCCCTGGATCTGGAAGCCTGTCACTACTTAATGAAGAATTCAAGCAGAGTTTCCTGGGAACAGTGGAGGTCCTAGTTTAGGCGTGTGTAAGTGCCACCACTAGACGTGATGAACATACAAAACCGATGCTGTCAAGCAGCCCAAGCCCACCAACTCTCGTAAGGCAGTGCTGCGGCCTCAGCCCCCTTTGCTGGGTGTGGGATGCTGTACAGCCCGCCCGCGGCAGCAGCTCTGTGCCGGCCCGTCCCATCTTTCCACAACCCAGGGACCAGCCATTCCCGCACAGGATCCCTGCGGCGTCCGCAGCCTCCTTCGCGGCTGCATCCCCTTCCTAGGCATTCTGGGCCGCTCGTCCCCGGCCAACGCCAGCCCCTCGCAGGGCGCTGCCGCCGCTGCCCGCCCGCCCGCCCGTTGCAGCCCAGCCCGGCCCGGCCCATTCCATTCCATTCCATTCCATTCCATTCCGGCCCGGCCCGGCCCAGCCCCCTCCCCTGTCTGCAGCGAGCGGCGGCGGGAGAAGGGCGGCGGCGCCGTCACGTGAGGCCCTGCCTGGCACTCGGTTCCTCGCGCAGCCCCGCCGCCGCCAGCCCGGCCCGAGCCCCGCCGCCTCGCCTCGCCTCGTCTCGTCTCGTCTCGGCTCCCCCGTTGCTCCCATGCCCAGCAGCGAAGCGGTGCCTCTGGGGCTGGGCGCCTGCCGCAGGTCGGGGGCGCTGGGCGGGATGCTGTCGCTGGTGGCGCGGCTGCTGGAGTGGCTGCGCTCGCTGTTCTGGAAGGAGGAGATGGAGCTCACGCTGGTGGGGCTGCAGTACTCGGGCAAGACCACGCTGCTCACCGTGCTGGCGGTACGCGGCCCCCGGCCCGGGGCAGGGCGGTGCGCGGCGCTGCGGGGCCCACCGGCGGGGCAGGGCCGCGGGGCTGGGGCTGGGGCGGGCGCGGCCGCCCGGCGGGGCTGCGGGATCCGCCCGCCCGCCCGGGGCCGCCGCCCCGCGGCCTTCCCCCGGCAACAAGTGCGGGCTTTGCTGCTGCGGTGGTGCCGCCGCCTGCCCTGAGGTCCCGCGGCCATGCGGTGGGATGCGGAGGGAGGGGGGGGCGGGAGAGAGTATGAGACAGCTTTTGCATGGTTGGCAGCCTCGAGAATTTCACAGCGGGAGGCTAAGGTGTGAGTGAAAGTGTTTTCAGAGGGAGGGAGAAGATGTCTCCTGGGTCTGGCTGCAAAGTGTGCCGGTCTTGGAGCAGATTCATGGACATGGGCTCTTGCCGTGGTTCAGGTTGGCTTTCCACGTTCAGTGTATCACAGAATAATATACTGTGCATCCCTCAAGGCCACAAATTGCCCGTTACTGAATTTTCTCCTCCCATCATTTGCTGCAATACTAATGCCTCCCACAAATCCTCCATAGCTCTTCCCCAGCATTCAAGACTGAATCCAGCATTCCTTTCCCGCTCTGGTGATGGCCTCTATATGCTGACACCTGCCATGACATTTTCTTTTTTGTCACCATGCTGAAATACATTCCTCGTCTTAGTTTGCTGTGCCCTCCAAACTGCATTTGGGTACATCCCAAATATTTGCTTTTCATCAGAGGATGGAAATATATATATGTATGTGTGTGTACATATACATATATACATATATATATACACACGTTCCATTTTGCTTACTTCTAATGATGAAGCTTAGTGAAGCTTTTTCTGCAAGGTATCTCCTGTGAGGTGTATCACAGCTTCAGCTGCTACGAGATGAAAATTTCTAGATGATCTTCAGTCCTTTTTGTGAAAAGCTAGTAGATCATGAATCAAAACCAGACTGGGAGATGTGTGGGTTAAAGTCAGAGAGATTGAGATAATGAAGACCTGAAGATTATATGATATTTGTTACTCACTTTTGCATATGATTACGGATTAAGGGAAAAATAAGAGATTATGCATTAGTGTGAAGAGGAGGAGAGAGAGCAGGAGAAAAAGGAATGGCAAATGCCCAATGAAAGTATGTTTTGGGTGACATCAGCAATCAATGGTATATACCTGTATCTGGTATTTTAGCTGGTTTGTCAGACACTCCGGTAATCTTGCAAAATTAGGCCTTGGTGCTTCTTATACCCATTGGAAGTTGCATTATGACATTTCCCAAGGGTGGGCCTTGCCTAGGAATGGGGAAAAGGCATGACAAATTACATTGCTTCGTGGATTGTTTCCATGAACAGAGCAAAGAGGAACACCGCAGTTCAGAGACCTCAGTAGAGTGTGGTGCCAGACTTTGTGTCTTTAATTATTTGTCCACTCCCATGTACTATACCACCAATAGAATGACATTGTAGGTGTTTGTGATGTTGTCTTCAACACCAGAGCACTCCTCTTACTGCAGGTCTGATTTTCCCTGCAAATGTTATTTCTTAAGAGTATTCTACAAGGCATTCCTGTTTTGTGACTTAGGCAGGGTCACACATTGCAGGTTTTATAGATTTTGGGTCTTCCAGTCTGGACATGGGATGCTGTGATAATCACCAAAGAAAAGTGGTTGGAGAATTTTGAAAAAAAAAATTAGGATAAGGCAATGAGTTAGAATTTGCTGTTGAATACTGTTGATATGGGAAGGGCAAATAGGGAACACTGTATATGTTTGTGAATACGTAGCTAGAGTGTGACAATGAAAATAGCTGTTGTAAAGTAGTGGCTACTTAAAATGCAGGCTGCAGTGGATCACAAAAAAACATTGGAAATTACAACTTTTTTAATTTTACAAGATCACTCAGAGATCCTATCATGCTAAGATTGGATAAACACCCTTTTAGACAGTCTGCTCTCAAGAGTTTGAGCCGTATTTAGTCCTTAATTACCAATGTAAACCTTGGATAAAATCACTGCCACATACTGTGGATGTGCATTGATGTAATGGAGTAGAATCTGGTCCATGGTTGTTGATATGTTAGGGGGTAATGACAGTTTTAATTATCTGTTCAATATTCAGAAACTTTAGGAGGACATTAGAAACTTCTTATCATCAGTTATTTTTCATTTGTGTTGGGAGGTAATCTGTTTTTTATTGAAATATGACAAAATTTTTTTACATTCTTAAATATTCACAAAAATAGGCAATTTGCCATGTAAATCTTCCTTAGCAAGCAGAGTAGTACAGATTTTTTACTTTATGGTGGTTAGGTGGTTACAACATTTAAAACACAATAAACAGAGCTCTCGGATTGATGTGGGCAAACGATTGAACCAATTCCTTTCTTCACTTTGTGGGAAAATAAAAAAACCTGTAGACATAATACTTTCTTTGCATCTGGTTCCATTCAACCAGAATGGAGATTTTTAGAGGAAAAGACTAAAGACCGGTGAAGAAGATGCTAATTCTTTACATTCTACCCCAAATACTAGAGCAATTATGGTGGTTTGGTTTTTTTGTTTAGTTTATTTTTGCCTTCCAGTTTAGCATGTTACATATGATGTATAATTTGCTGACAAAAGTAGAATTCTGACTTTCTGCAGCTTTCTGAGTCAACTGTCTGGTTTTCTAGGCATTCCTGTCCTTGAGTAATGATGCTACATTTTCAGTGTTTATGTGTTCATTTGTGTTTGTATGTCAGTCCTCCACAAACATAGGTACTACATATTTTAACAAATTTGTATAATCTTAAGATTGGAAAGGAACTCCAAGATCATCAAGTCCAATGACCAAACACCACCTTGTCAACTAAACCATAGCACATCCAGTCCATTCTTGAGCACTTCCAGGGATGGTGACTCCACCATTTGCCTGGGCACACCAGTACCCAATACACAAAAGGATTTACTGGTTGGCTTTGTCTTACTATATCCAGTTAAAAACTTCTGTCAGTGCTGGCTATGTGTATCTGTATGAAACTGCTGGGGCTTTTGTCTTCACTTTCTTTTCCCTACTGCTGCTGACAAGTTACTGAAGCAGGGAAGAAGAGAAAAAAAGAGACAAAAGATGGTGAAGATGTATAGTACAGAATTTAGCAAGAGGATTCCCATAAAAAAGGGTGAAAAAAGAACTGATGGAAGTTTTTTCTTGCTTGAAGGATCTAGTTCCAAACTCCAAAGTCTTGTGAGACAATCATGTAACTGTCAAAAGTTGCACAGTTTTTAAAGCCCCAGATTAAAAATTATTAACCTTACATTGTAAATGCAAACTGGAGACAGAGTGTATTCTTGCTCCACCACAAAAAAGACAGAAAACTTTCAGAAATTGTATAGGTCCCAGTAACAGCACTGGAGGGCTAGACTGAGAGACACAGAGCTGTTCCAGTGCACCCTGAAGCTCTGATCCTCTATTTCTCAGATGAGAGGGAACTGATGGAACATGACTGCATCCTGCCTTGTCCATATACCCATATATTCTTCCAAAAAAACCAACCAACCCAGGGTTCATGGGTTGCTGAGGTAAATATGAGCAGATAGATGCAGAAAGGCAGTGTTAGGCCCAGAAGGTGCTGCTTTCCTTGCTGGATGACTGGGAAACCAGGATTGCTGTGTTGCAGAGAGTGCCTGGGCCTCTGTTAGGACATAAGTAACAAACTGCCTATCTTATTGTACCATGTCCAGGAGATACAATAGCTTGTTAATGGTGCATTTTCAAAAGGAAGATGAATGATGACTTACCTACTCAGGTCTGAGTTTTGTCTTTACCCTCAAAAACTATCTTCTGTAGTAGGTAGAAGTCTAAGATTCCCATTGGTGTGGTGAGAAATGTCTTGGTTGTGAAAATATTTCTCTGAACTGTGGGAGGAGGCACCATTTTTGTGCTGGGGGTTTATGTTTGGAGTTTATGGTACACTGAGTTAGTCCCTTTTACTTTTCTGCCTTAATGGCATTCTCTTAGCTCTGCAGCAGGATTCCTTTGCTGTCACCTACACAGAAAAAAACAAATATGCAGATAGTCCTCTCTGCATGGGTGGTCCTTCACTGTTTATATTTGGTGTTAAGCTAGTGGTAACGGTAGTGAGAAACTAGAGGAAAAAATCTTGTAGCCAGTTTTATAATATTTTATCATATTGGGGGTAGGACTAGGTGACCTTTAAAGGTTTCTTTCTTTCAACTCAAATCATCCTATAATTCTATAATTTTGGCTGTGTTGCCAAAGGATCAGATGAAGAATTATCTGAAGTCTCATGGTTTCTGGGGTGATCTTTGTTGCTGAAGAGAATAAAAGATCACTTAAAGGGGCTGAAATGAACAGTCTTCCTTGATGTGACAATGCAATAATTGAAGTGCTGGCCAGTGCTCTTGCTGAAAATTAATGTGATATTTTACAATGTTGTAAAATACCATTTTTTAGATTGCAAGTGAGAACATTTCCTGTATGTATCAACTGTTTTATAATAAATACAATTTTGGTTTTATATTCTAGTCGGGGCAGTTCACAGAAGATATGATTCCTACAGTAGGCTTCAATATGAGAAAAATAACAAAAGGAAACGTTACCATAAAGGTAGGTGTGCATGTTTAAATTAATACAGAGTGAATAAATAATGGAGTAATTTTAACTGGAAATATGAAAGACAGGAAATTTATTTTAAGATTATAGGGTCCCTTATCTGTTTTTCTAGCTCCAGACTAACTTTTTTTTAAAGCAATAGTAATATATTTCTCTGTTACATTAAACTGTTTGATTTCATTGTATTCCATGCCAGGCAGAAGCTTTGTTACAGTTTTTTGGTTTAGAAAGGTCATAAAATGTGGAGATACTGAGGTAGCTGAGTTGACTCCTGGGGGTGTATCTGTCTTCTCTCTTCCCCTTCTCCCCTCTTCAGCTGTAAGTGAAGCGGTAGGTATCTCAGTGGAGAGTGTGGTTTAGCTCATGCGTTAGCAATGCTGAAATAGAACATCTAGCTTAAGTCAGTTATTGGGGAACCATCTCTTAGAGCTACAGAGACACATAGACATCGAAATAGAGGTAAATCACTCCGGTAGCATTAACACTGTCTGTTGTTAGACAATGAAGGGAGCCTGCTTGATTAGTCTAGATGAAATTCACAACTTCTAGCTAAAATTAGGTCAAGGGAATCCAGATTTTTTGTCTTTACCTTAACTTTTCCCTCCTTTTCCAAAACATGTAAGTTCTTTTCTCCCTCAGTTCTATAGATATTCTTCCTCTGGTTTGGTATGACTCCTGAGCCACTGATCAAATTCCAGCGATGCCACAGTCAATAAAAAAGTTACTGCATTCTACCATAGTTCATAAATAATCTGCAGGAAAAGGAATTTCCGTTGTTTTTTGCCTTTTGCACGGAAGTAATGAGGCCATGATTGGTAGAGAGAAAACACAGGCATAGTTGGAGGGCTGTGCTGATGCTGCTGCAGAATTGTCAGGTGTGGAAGAAAACAAGTCGTTGATGGCTCATTAAGCTAGGCAAAAATCTTTTGTTAGTAAGCAGTCATCAAAATCCAGTAGTTTTTGAGCCAGATAGTTCAAGAAGGAACTGACTAACAGTTTATACCAGGGTTGTCTGAGCAAATGATGTTGCAAGATTAAGTTGTGCAGGGAAGGTGTGGGTGAGTTTTTGTGGAACTGTGCCTTGTTTTACTCTGACCTCAAAAGTAATTTTATATATAGTTGCTATAATAGAATTTTTAAGAATAAGGAGATAATGCTAACATAATTAATATGTTTATTAGTTTCAAAAATGATACTTGGTTTGGAAGCCAGTCTGCACAGGAAGATACACTGACTCATTCTCACAGTCTTTCTGCTACAGCAGCATTCAGGGAAAGTAAGGAGTGTAGGGGAATATGACTCTTACAGATAGATGCTTATTTCCTTAAAAGTCTGTCAGGATAAACTACTTATATGTCACTGTTCCTATATATAGACTAAAATCTTACAGGTTATTGCTAGATAAGGTTTCCAGAATTATTTTACTTTGAGAAAAATGACATAATCTGTTGATAAGTTGATGACTCAAATGATGAGGTGCCTATTGCTAGAATCCTTTTATGAGCTATTTGCAGCCCAGCAACAAGGATTCAGAGTAAATTTTTCTTTAACCTTTTTAATCCCAACAAAACAGGTAACCCTTCTCATAGAAATATTATGAGAAATACTACGATATTCAACTATCAGCTGTTAAAATTAATGAATAAAGTGTTATTTTACTAAACCTGTGAAGTTCTTTAAACATGACAGGAATGATTATGCTAAGGAAAGACCTGACATTGTGTCTGACCTTTTTCAAAGGTTTCAGGGGACACTGCAAAACAGAATCAATTAAACTTATTATAAAATTGAGGTTGAGAAATCAACTGGGTCAAAAAGTCATCAAGTGAAAAATTTGCATTCTATAAGACTGATTACTTTTGGAAAGGTAAGTTGAAAACCCAGCAATTAGGTAATAGTAATCCTTTAACTGTTGCTGTATTTTGGGGTAGGCCACTAAGAAGGGAGTACTATGCTAGTACAGTGTCACTGCCTGGTTTCTTCACTTCAGTTTCATCTGCAGATTCCATACAATTCTAGAAGGCAGAAAGAACTGAAACCCATGCTCTTCTTTCCTGTCTTCTGATTTTGGCAGTCATTTACAAAAGCTGGTCCATTTATTCTCACTTTTAGTCTCTAATCTTACTATGTAGAAGTATGGTCACTGGCATGTGTGCGTGTATGGTGAGTATTTATCTGAGCCACACTAAAAGAAAAAAACCTGATTTATGCAAGCTGAAACATTTTGTAGGAAGATACCAATTTCAGATGTCCTTGAATTGAAACTAAACCTGTTTAGAAATATATGGCTGTCAGCTTTAACCATTAATTGTCAAATTTTGACTTATCAATATGTTTAATAACCTGCTACCTGTTATTTCCAAGAAGAGAAGGCAATAAAGGAAGGATTTTACCGCATGGTGTTTGAAATCTAAGCAGGCAGCTTTGTATTTTGAGATTGTGGTTGAGGTTGTTGGTATGATTTCTAGCATCAAAATGTTTTATATACTACAACTTAGGGATCTGCTAGAACTATACCATTGAAGTTCATTACAAAACTGATGGCTATCTTTTTTTTTCCGTGAAAAAAACACCTGACTGAATTGCTTTGAGATCTTAATTCCAAACAAGCTTTGCTATTTTCTGAGTGATTAGATTTTGATGTTTTTTTCTGTTTTTTGAATCTACTTAGCAATCCTTTTGCTTTGGTGAGATTTACTGTTCAACAAGCTAGACAGCAGTTAATAAAACTTACTTTAAGAAGCCAAGTTTCAAGAACCTCAGAAGACTTGAATTGTGAACTGCTATTTAAAGGGATTGGGAACCTCTAGCTAAGAAACCTATGGTTCTTGCAGTGATGGTCTTTGAACAGTCTCTGTTAAAAGGAAATAGAGCACCACAGACATGTATACGCAGAGGTAATGCCACAGATTCATTTCCCTTGCTCTTGCGTTTGTTTTTCTTAAAATAGCATGGCCAGGTAGATTGTGCACTTCCTGGCCATTGTGGTCCAGAGGGAGTAGAGAGCAGGTGCTGGGGGACTGGAGCTGGCAGGGTGGGCTGTGGTCACCCCGGCTGTCACCACTAGATGCCGGTGTCCCTCCACCACGCCCTGCACAGCCTAGCTGCGGGAGAGCAAAGCTGAGCTTCTCACTGCTTGCTCTTTGCTCTGATGTGGCAGACAGGCAGGAGAAGGATACCAGCTCTGTGCATTCCTCTGCCAGCTTCCTTTGTTACAGCACTCCTGCTCTGTACAGTAGTGTTTTCAGGTCTCCACACATCCTCATAGAAGCAGAATTCTTCTGCTTTGTAATGTTTCCTCCTTCTATTCAGGTTCTCTTCCCTGTTGTATTGTCATTTCAAATGTCATGCAGTAATACAAGCCTATGTGTGTTCTCTAAGTGTAGCTCCAGCAGTGTTTCAGCACATACTGGCTATACTGTATGACTTGGATCACTCTGAAAAAGCTCTGCTATGTCTGGCCTGATTTCAAGTCAAAGCAGTTATTTCTATAGAAAAGGGATTTTTGCTGGATGTCCCAGTGTTTTGTGATAGCTGCCTGTAAGGAAGAGCTGTTGGACTGGTGGATTGAAAAGGGCTGTGTTCCAGAGCAGGAAGCCCAGTGACTAGTGCTAACTCCTAGGGATTCTTTAGTGGGTTTATTAGCGACCTGGATGGTGGGACAGGGTGCACTTTCAACAAGTTTGCTGGTAGTGCAAAACTAGGAGTGGCTGGTGCAGCAGAGGGTTCTGCTGCCATCCAGAAGGACCTTCACAGGCTAGAGAAGTGGACTGATAGGACTCTTAGGAAGTTAAGTACAAGTCCTGTTTAAAATCCACCTGTTGATCCTTCTAGCATTGCATTTTGTGTCTCTGATAAAATGGCAAAATAGCCCCATATCACTTAGAAATACTGTCTCCTGTTAAAATGCCTCTGTGCTTGTTATCAGGAGTTGAATACTTTGTGAACATTTTGTGTTGCAAGTCTATTTCCAGTTCTTCCATGAAAATATTATGATTAAATTTTGAACATTGAAATGCACATACAGCTTTTCTCTTTTATATGATCTGATTAAAATGCCTAATGGTGTGTTTAAAAGTTGTGCTTTATCACCAGTGAGGAGGGAGAACAGAGTTCTTTAAAGGGCCAAGACTGATTTCAAAGAACATTCTGAGAAATATTGCCTGCAGAAAATGTAACCACATTGCACATTTGTTTTTTTACTCTATGAGCAACTGTGAAGGCATTTTCAACATGTAGGATAATAAGTAGTAAGTATTCTAAAGTAGTAAGATATTCTGACTTCCATATTAAATTACATGGCTGGTAGGTACTACAAGTTAGGCTGTATAGATTTGTATATACAGGGAAATTTATGAAAAGGTTTAAGATTATTAGATTTTTTTAGTCTTCTGTTTATTAGGCAAAAAAGATAGACATTTTTGGTTGAAGATTCCAGTCTAGAATAGGTGATCATTTAGGATTTCTCCCTCGTGAGCTTAGCCAGGTGGTAAGTAACCCAGCATGAGCCAGTTGTCTGAACCTGCTGGGGAGCAGTGAGTGCTTTGCAAGAATTGTTCACCAGGTAGGCAAGGTGGGTAAAACAATCAGAGTAATTTCCTGCTGTTGGTGCCCTCTGAGCACTTCAGTAGCCAAAGAGAAATTTTTGTCACCTGGATTAAATGCCTAAATTTTAGGTGATTGAAGTTGTCCCATGCTTTCCAGTTGCTCCCTATCATTACACACTGAGTTTACTATGAATACAACAACTGTTGTGTATGTTTGAGCTCATTGGTCACATCTCAGGCTTGCCTGTGTACATTGTCGTGGTAGATTTTACTGGTGCTGCCTTACTTTGCCTAAATACTCCTCTCTGCTTAACAAATTCCTCACCTGTTTAAGTTAGGTTTATGGCTGATACTTTCTGGATACATCCAAGAAGATACATTTCTGAGTTCAGATATTTGTAGTGTTGGATTCATCTTGCAGGTTAAGATGCCTGCATGTGAACAGCTATATGTCTACAGTGAGGCTTTAGCTATTTCAATAATAGTCAGAGGAGCTGTAGTCAGTACTGTCCAGCCTAGAGTGTAATTCTGGCATCCTAAACAAGATGTTAGATCTGATCAGCTGAAAGGCCATCTAGACTTTGCTGACTGCTGTGAAATTGTAGGTAGTGAATCCACACATTGACATCTAGATACAAATTTGTCTTTGTAATCTCTGTCCACAAGAAATCTTCTACCCAGCATATCTGAAAAAAAGCCATGTAACATGACATCTAGAAAACCCTTTTCCTGCAGCTTTCTCATGAACCATCAAGCCTTTCCACAGTATGAGCTAATTTGAAGGAACACAGCTAGAGAGTTAATGAACCTTCCTGTAACTGAACGCTTTCAAAAATCTTTGAACCTATTCATGTGCATTTTTGCTCAACTGTCATGATACAGCTCTGTGCAACAGAAAAGGATCTGCTCCTTAAACACAGCTCATAGCTACAGTCTTAAGATGGAACCTTAGATTCTCCTGAAGAAACTGGAAAGAGATAAATCCAAAGTTTCATCGTTTAGAAGAATTTGATATATTGTACTCAGGTAAGTATATGGTAAACAGTGGCTCCATAACGATGATCTAGTTTACAGATTAAAACATTCCACTAATTAATTACAGTGTAGACCTGCAAGCACAATAAGAATTACTACACTGTAGGGGTAGATAGAGACAAATAAAACAGTGATGTATAAAATGTGGCACAAGATATGTGCCTTTGAGATTGGGCCTGAAGAGAAAATCCTTGAGATTTTAATCTCCTGTGAGGCAGTGGTACCGGATATCAAAGAAACTTTTTCTCAGTTTGGTCATTCTGTAAGCTTTTGCTGATTCTTTAAATCAGCTGGTGTTCTACCGATAAAATTACCTATTAAATATTATGAAACTTTTATTCCTGAGGGGCCAGTAAAAGTCATGGGAGAAATTTGAATACCAGCCTCTTTTTAAAAACAACCAGACAAAGTAAACTTTTTATAGCTACCTGTATGTTCAGCTGGTTAGTCTCCTGCCTATCCCCATTCATACCCAGAACAAACTTTCTACCTGTGCGTTAATACTGGGATGCAAAAATAGTTGATATACAAAACATGCAACACTCATGCAAGAAAACGTCTTTAACACTAAGAGCTCTTCCCTTTCCTTCCTGAGAACCTCTTACATTCTCACAGTTCTGTCTGTTCAGTCATGTACTGTGAAAATGGTTTGGTGCAACAATTTGTGTTTTGAATTAAGTAGTTAACTCTTTCATTGGCTATTCAGTATAATAAGGAGTATTGGAAAGTTACTATTAAAACCATTTTGTTTTCAAAGGTAAAGAGGTAAGGATTTTTTTTCATTTCATACATTCATTTTTTCTCCATATTTCAGATAATTATTATTATGTAATCTAAATAATAATCTTGGTTCCAAAGCACTGTTAAAAACACTTAGTCTGTATTGTGTCCTTCATGTTGTACTTTAATGAATAGCTGTAAGCCTGATTAGGGAAACTGACTGGAAATGACTTATCTTCCCGTTGTTTCAAGGTGACTTTTTCCCCTAATGAGAGTAATCTTGTTCTGCAGTTCAATTTAATATCGTAAGATATAGTATATCATCAAACAAGGACAAAACCAGGTTTTTTTATCTTGTATTGTTTATTTTGTGATTAGTCCAGGCTACATCATCTTGTAGATATTCATGGCTATCAGCATTCCAAAAATCTAATCTGACTACTAGCCTGCTCTATCATCTTCCCCTTTTTTTCTCCCCTCTGCTTCTTTTTAGTAAGAAAATAATTTAGTTTCTTTTTTGAGACACACAGATGTGCACCAGATGGCTTTGGATAGTTTCAAGGTCTTGATGAGTTATTGGAGTAATTAGTGTTGGTGTAAGTTTTGTCATCTAACCATGATACTGAACTGTGTATTCATTACGTCCAAGCTTTTAAAGTATAAAGGTTTATTTTATTAAGACCTTTGGTACAGTGCTTCAAATGTCAGTACAGATAATAATTGATACCCATTTCATGGTCAGAAGCTCTTTCATGTGTAAAATATTTGATCTTATTCAGGGGATCAAAAGGCACTCTACATTTAGGTGATACAATAGTTTTATGTTGGAAGGAGTGGGTAGATATCAATCAGGGAATGATTTAATGGGGAATTGGGAAATATTTCTTTCTAAAATATGAATATAAGATATTGAAAATGATACAGAAATTGGTGTATAAATATGATTTACAGGCTGTGAAATTAAAAAATAGTGGACATTAATTGAAAAAGCCTTATCCCATGGGTCTGTGAAGTCTTGTTCTTTTGTGCCAAGCTTTGTTGCCAGAGAAGGCATAAGTTGGATTTATAGTGTAAATGTGAGGACAACTCTTCAAAAATTTTGTTTCTATATATCTTACTTCCAAATTTAGTTCTTCTGTAATATACTTGCCTCCTAGATCTGGTATACAGTATATATTGTTTTGATAGCTAAATGTGCTTAAAATAAGAAATGGTTACTTTTTCCTTGGCAGAGGAATAAATCCATTACTTTTATTTTTCAGTATTCATCGTGGTCTTAATCCGTGTGTCACTTGCTACACAACTGTCTTTGGATGTAGCTGTAACAGATATATTATCTCACAGCTCTGGCCTGTATGATGTATATATGTTACCTGGTATTTTGATCTGAGAAACAGTTTAGGAACAAGATACAGTCATCCACCAAAAATATAAATTTTTGCAAATTTTTGCAAAATACTATTTATTTTGTAAGTAAAGCAGAGTATGTAACTCCTGTACAGAAAAACAGTGTATTAAAAAGTAGGAATTCCATGGGATTGCTGGGCACTAATAGCATGTGTAAATATTTATGGGATTGGAGATTTTATAACATCATAAGAAGAATTTGAGCTTTCTTTCTTCAAGAAACAATGCTTAATCCTTACAGGCCCACCAATACTACTGTTTCCTTTCTGGTTCTGATTAATTAATCCATGTGTCTTTTAAAGCACATTTGTTGAACCAGTGGGAGAGCTGTGGAGGTATTGGAGCTCCTTGGAGTGGGGAGTATCATCCCTTATGTGGATTCAGTTTGCTCTCCGACCAATTCTTTGTTTATTTACTGTCTTTATCCTGTTGAAGATCTGATACATTCTTAATTCAGGTCTCCCTAGCCACATTAAAAATTAACCTGCATAACTGTTTTATACAAGGAAGATACTCTTTTTTGTTTTGAGACTGTGCATTTGCAATAATTCAGTTCAGTATCTGAGTAAGACTTTTCTTTCAGTGAGTGGGAAAGGGTAACATTCTCCAAAAAGAACATTTGGAGCTTTTGGTGTCACAGGCCTTTGAATGTGCCTGTCCCCCTCTGTTAGCTGGAAGGGGCCAAGAAGACCTTTGAATAAAATTCTGGAATTGGCAATACAACCTGCATGCTGCATGTGCGAGTAAATTTATTTTGTTGGGTTAGGACTATGTAGTTAAAAACTATTTTGGGCTTGGAGTGTTCTTACCTTTTCAGGTGTGGGACATTGGAGGACAGCCAAGGTTTCGAAGCATGTGGGAGCGTTATTGCAGAGGAGTCAATGCAGTTGTGTAAGTTTTCTTTTGTATGTCCATAGAAAATGTACTTTGCAATCTATATTATTATAAAATCAGGTATTACTTTATATTATATATAAATAAAATATTTTTTTTCTGTCCACCTCCATCACGTAAGAAGTACAATAAAAATAGTGTGTTTTGCATGTGTAGCAACCCAGACATGAAAGTAATTGCATATTCCAGGCAATTTTTTTCCCCACAGGCTGTATTTAACTTTATGTTCCTATATCAATAAATGCAGGGCTTATTCAACTTTGCATTTTTCTAATGCTCTGGTCAATATCAACAGGTTTGTCTTATTTGTTTTAATGCAAATTTCTGCAGGTAATGGTCAATATCATAAATATTCTTGGTTGCAGTTACATGGTGGATGCAGCAGACTTAGAAAAAGTAGAAGCTTCAAAAAATGAGCTACACAGTTTGATAGATAAGCCACAGCTGCATGGAATTCCAGTAAGTATTTTCATTATTATTCTTACCTGAATGTTGACAGTGTGACCTAAATCTTCATGGGTTTCTCTGGTCTCTTAAAAATACTAGGTTGATGCAGCCTTGATACACTGAGCATTCTTAGAAAAATTATCGTGTTTTTTTTTTTTCACAGTACTCAATAACTGATGAATGCTGCACTGTGTTTGTACATTTTCTTGTCTAAAGGTCAGAATAGATTTCAAAAAATTGTGTTTTCATGTGTGGCATTATCAGACAGTAATTGCTTCCAGTCAGTCCCTTGTTGGCTGGGTTTCAGCCAGTGACCCAGGTATGTTTCTGGCAGTACCTTACAGCATGTGAGATCAATCTTTCTGCAGGTTGTCAGACAGTAATATCAAGTAGTGTCCTCTGCTTCCAGAGTTTGTGTAGGAGCTTGGCTTTTTATGTGTCCTGACTTATTCTTGACTTAGTATTTCGAACTAAATTGTGTGGAAAAAATGCAAATACGCATCTGTTCTCCAGTTGGAAGTGTCAAAGAATAGTGTATTCAGCTGAAATTCTAATGAGGAATATGAAGGTGGAGACCAATGTTGTTTATTTAAATGTAATCTGCCAATTTAGGAATCCATCAGGTTATCATTGGTCTTTATGTTGACAGCACCAAGCAAGAGTTCATACCTTGATTAAAAGAAAGGAAACAGTAGTACATACAAATGAGGAAGAAGTTGCTCACAACTTGATGGCTCTTCCTTGGCCCCTTTTTTGTAAGCAGTTATTTGAATGCCTGGCCACTACAAGTATTTGAAGTTACCTGAGGGTGAGTAGACAGTGTAAGGACTTCAAGAACACAGTTGAAATGTGTCAAAACACTGTCAAAGCCACAGAAGGAACAGGAACTTCACATAAGATATGCCACCACAGCAGGAACTTGAGATAAGCACAAATGCCACAGTAGGCAGGAGCTAATTGCAGGCCCAGTGGAGCTGAAGGTTTTGTTTACTTAGCATCTGGACCTGCTACCCATCTAGACATTGCCACCTTGGCAGACTGTGGGAAGGGAAGTGTTTGTACACATGCCATCATGGGAATGGCATCTAAACACATTCCCAGTTATGGGATTGGCATCTAAACCCCATGGATACCTGGGACTTGATCTGTATAAAAATGGTACCTCTAGTATACAGTCAGCCTCTCTCTCTCTCTCTCTCTCTCTCCCCCTTCTCTCCTCCCACTATGCTCAAAGGACAATTTTTCAAGTGATTCTCCATATTATAAGGTTTGCTACTGTTGTTGTGATTTTATATGTTAATTATCTATTGAACAAATCCTACAAAAGGAAATCTACAGTTATGCTGTTCATGGGGAGTGACATTACCCATCCTTTGCACTTTCTTCACGTTTTTTTTTGCTTCTCACTTTTCCTTACTGAAATGATCGGTCTCTTATATCTTCAGTAGTATTTAATTAATTTCTTTGCCTTTTATATGTTATAATATCACATTCCAAATGCCCAGCCTGACCCATACGGTAATTTCCAAGGTGCAGTGATGTATTTTTTACTTACTTTTATTTCACACATAGTAATTAGTATTGAACTTCCTTCAATTTATTGTGTTCAGGTTTTGACATAGATTTTAGAGCAACTGTATTAATCTGGACTGTGAGTAATGAGTTTAATATGTTCCAGATTCATGGGATATAATGGGACAGTCTTGACTTAGAATTGTAGCACATCTGGAAAACAGTAATGCAATCATAACTAGAAGAACCTTCCATTACTTACTTTATCTTAGAATGTGCTCAACCCATTTATCTGACGGTCATTTATACTTGAAGCCTTGAATAGGAACTGAAGTTCCAGCATCTATTCGGTCAGTAAATTTTCTGCATTTCTTGGACATAATTCCTAATGGCTGCCTTTCAGATTTCCACCATGGATGCTCAGATTGAGACAGAGGTGGCTGGTGTTCAGGTGATAACTTGGTTAGGCTTGGAGGCTGAGCTGTTCAGTGTGTCAGGAGCAAAAAAATGGAGAGAGAATTTTGTCTGGGTCTTTAGGACAAGCCTCTGCTGCTGGTGCCCTACTTCTGATTACCATCAGTCTGGTCCTCTGAACTGAATATATTTCAGTGGCTTATATGCACCTAATGCATGCTTTCTGCCACATTTCTTTGCATTTAATCTGACACCATCCTATAATGCCATCTAGAATGGAGAGATTCACTTCCAGAGGAGACTTTTGATACTAATACACCCAGAAATAATTTGATCCAGTTTTCAGAGAGTGTACATCCAGCATCTGGTCCTGACTAGGGCCGAGATTTCCATTATGTTCCCGCAGGCCTTGCCATTTTGTTAGATTCTAAATAGCTGCAAGATCCAGAATAATGCCAACAAAAAGTTACAGACAAAAATAAACTAGTGTTGCTCCTGGATTTAATATGCATATGAATTATTTCTTTCAGGTGTTAGTTCTTGGAAATAAACGAGACCTCCCAGGTGCACTGGATGAGAAGCAGTTAATTGAGAAATTGTAAGTAGCTGACTTCTATAAAAAGCTGAGACACTGTGAAGTTTGATTTGTAAGTCAAAATTATTGATGGTCTGTGGCAATAATTTGCTATAAAAGATGCTGTTTACATTCTCAGATATTCCACTTCAAGCTCTGCTGTCAACTGATGTATTGATCTAGGCTGATAACTGACTGCAGTAGATTTGAACCGCTCTTGATTGTTGTTTGGTTGTGTAAAGTTATTTCAGATACTTCTGTTTTCCCATCACTGAGAACAGAACTGCTATGGATAGTGAAAGGGTCATTTTGACCTCTCACAGTACAGTGCAGTGTCAGTTTAATGCCTGAATGGCATTAGAACAGAACCATATAAACCTGGTGTTGGTAAATTTAAGCAAGTCAGGTATTTTTGCCATATAGCCAAAGCACAACTTAGGAATTACTGAAAGTAATGAATTGATGCATAGCAAATGTCATTGTAAAGAAAATACACAATTTTGTAAAATAGGATTCACAAATCACATAATTTTAATTAGTAGAAAGTGAAGTGAGGTCTTGATATAGTAAGGATGGTCTAAAGTCTGAGCTACTAAACTGGGACTCAGAGAATGGCAGAGGTTGGAAGGAACTGAGGTCATCTACCTGCTCAAGCAGAGACTTTTTCCCCTTGGAGCTGATTGCTCTGGACCGTGTCTAGACAGCTTTTGAACATCTCCAAGGATGGAGACTTTGCAGCCTCTCTGGGCAACCTTTGCTTTAGCTCTCAGAGCTAAAAAGTGCTTCTGTGTCTTCAGAGAGACCTTCCTGTGTTTCAGTTCATAGCCATTGCCCCTTGTCTCATCACTGGGCTCCATCTTCCTTACAGGCTACCTTCAAATTTTTGTATGCATTAATAAGAAGTTCAGTAAGCATTTTCTTCTCTAGCTAAACAGTCCCAGCTCTTCAGCCTTTCTTAGTGAGTTGCTCTAGTTCCTTAATTTTAGTTGTCCTTTATTGGAGCTTATCCCATAGATTCACATCCCTCTTGTACTGATGGTTCACAGCTGGTCGGGTACAGCCTTACTGCTGCTGAGTAAAAGGGAAGGATCACCTCCTTCAGCCTGCTGGCCAGCGCTCCTAGTACACCCCAAAATACCATTAGCATTTGTACCACACTGCTTGATTGTTTTCAGCCTGGTGACCTGCCAGGACCCTCATGTCCTTTCCTGCAAAGCTGCTTTTCCAGACAGTTGGCATCTGACATGTTCTGGTGCCTGGGGTTGTTCCTCCCCAGCTGTAGGACTTTGCACTTCGCCTTGTTAAACTGCAAAAAAAGCCCTGCCAGCCCTTTCTCCAGCTTGTGGAGGTCACTCTGGGTGGCAGCACGACCCTCTGGTGTATCAGCCACTCCTTTTATTTTTCTGTCATCAGCAAATTTGTGCTTTGCCCCATAATTTGCAACAAATGAAGAAATAGAACAGGACTGGACCCAGTATTGGTTCTGGTGTACACTGGTAGTCACTGGGTTCCAGCTTGCCTTTGTGCCACTGATCACCCAGTGATCAGCCAGACCTCAGTCCACCTCACCATCTATGTGTCCAACCCATACACCCTCAGCTTGTCTGTAGGGATATTATGGAAGGCACTGTCAAAGCCTTATCAAACAAAGGTGCACAGTGTCAGTTGCTCTCCCATCATCTACCAGACTGTAGATTTTGTTGTAGAAGGTTATTGAGTTGGTTAAGCATGATTTCCCTTGTGTGAAATGCTGACTACTCTGGTCATCTTCTTGTCTGTCACATGGCTGGGAATAGTTGCATCATCACCTTCCCAGGAATCAAGGTGGGGTCCTCTGTTTTCTGTAGAGTGACATTTGCCTTCCGCTACTCTCAGGCACCTCTCCCAATTGACACGATTGTTCAGAGTGGCCTCACAATGACATCAGCCAGTTCCTTTATTGCTTGTAGGTGCATGCCACCAGGGCTTATGGATGGACATCTCTTTGTCAAGTTTGCTTATTTATTCCCTGATTTGATCCTCTTCCATCAAGGGTACAACTTCTTTGCTTTTAACTTACTCATCATTTCTGGGGCCTGGGGTTTCTGAAGGCTAATCTTGCTAGCAAAGGCAGCATTTTCATGTCTTATGTAACTAGGTCCCCTGTCTCGCTGAGGAATGAGTGCACATTTTCTCCCATCTTCCATTTGTCACTTTCTGGTTTTCTTTGACATCCCTTATGAGATCCAACTTCAGCTGGGCTTTGGCTGACCTCCTGGTGTCTCTGGATTCTTGGACAATGTTTCCTTATTCCTCCCAGGTTAGCTGTCTCTGCTCTGACCTTCTGTATGCTTCCTTTTTATTACTGGGTTTTTCCAAGAGCTTATTGTTCATCCACTTAACGCCTCTTGGCTTTTTTTCCAGGCTTGTTAGGATAGATTATTCTTAAGTTTGGAGATGAGCTTTGAATATTAACTGGCTTTCTTAAGCCCTTTGCTACAGGGCCTAACTATGTGGCACTTTTCCAAGCAGATCCCCAAGAGGCCAAGGCTGCTCTCCTAAAGTCCAGGGAGGTCCCTATTTAGTTCTCTTTTCTTTACTAGAATCTCTTGTATGTTCTTCAGACTTCTCAGTGTCTTCCCACTCTCAGTCACTTCCCGCCTGCTTCAGGAAAATGTTTTGTGCATGTCTGTGTCACTTGTGTGAGGATAAGTAAATGAAAAAACAATAAAGTGTTCTGAAGCTCTGAGAGGGGTTGGAGAGTTCCCAGAAAGAAGTTGATTAAGAACCGGTTTCTACCTAAATGTAGAGGATCCTTTCAGTGGGAGTCAGATCTGATATTTTAAGTATGATACAGTAAACATCCTGAAGACAAATGGTGTGATCATTTGAGTACTATTATTTTATTATGATTTACTGGAGAAAAACCCTCAGAATTCTAAGGGAAAAGAGTAAAAGGTGAATGATAAGACATGGGTAATACTTGATTACAAACACAAAATGTTATTTTTAGCTTATGCATTTCTGTGGTTTTATTTCTCACTATTTTACTGACCTAATGTGTAATTCAAATTTTATAAACCTTATAGTCCAAGAAATGTGTGGCTTTCTGTGTGCAGTGGGATATTTTAAGAATTTAAGATCTGAGAATAGAATTGAACCCACTGAGTAAAAAGCAGAAAACTTAAAATTTAATGGACATTTCTGTTTTCAGTGTTTGTGGGGTTATAACTTTTTGTTTCTGTTTCTGTAGAAACCTTTCAGCTATTCAAGACAGAGAAATCTGTTGCTATTCTATTTCCTGTAAAGAGAAGGATAACATAGGTAAGCTTCTTCTAGTGTCATCAGTATATGCTTTGTACTTTGGATCAGGTTTGAACATCTACCTCCACTATATTATTGAAGATCTCAATTTACATTGAAAGATATTTTGCAAATATTTCACGTAACTATATTTGTGTAATTAAAAAAAAAATACATGTAATTAAAAAAGAAAACTTGTAGAAATATGTAGTTCTGTGAGAAGCTAATTTGTCAGGGACCTTGGAAAAGCATATTTAAAGTCTGAAGTAATTGAATCCTTTACAAGAAACTGTTACTATTGAAAAAACAGTAGCTGCATATGAAGGCCTTCCAGTTATTAGGTTATCTGAAAAAAAATATGGTGATTTACTCCATACATGGTTTCATTTGATAAGCTGGTTTTATATGCATGTGGCTGTTCCTTGAACTGAGGGATGGGTACTTTTTTCCAAATGGAAATGCTTTTCCTCTGTCTCCTATCTTCCACTTTCCTATCCCTTTTGTCTATCATGTTTTTCCATTCCCTTCCCTCCACAGGGCAGGAAGAAGGGATGAGGCACGGGCTGAGTTAGCAGCTGCAGAAATTGTCTGAGGGCATGCTACCTGTGTGCCACCCTTCTCTGCATGCTCTTGAGATAAGATGGGATGGGATCTAGCCTGGCTAGATATTTATAGCTGCTACGTGAGGAAGCCAGACTTAATAGAAGACCTCAGCAGCTCTGTAGGGATCAGCTGAGTGAGAAAATATGAGAGTGGGAATGGGAAGAAAGCCACTTTCTCTCAGAGCTGGGGAAATTTCCATCCTACACAGGCAGAACCAGGTAGTGGAGATGGTGAGGAGACTGTACCATGGCACCTGGACTTCAGTGAGCTGGGGGAGATTTCAGCTGTGTGCAGAGATGTGTTCACAGCGAGAGCTTCTCCTGGAAGCGTACATGATTTAGGTATGTTAGTTTGAAGGAGACTAGACCCATGTTTGTTGCAGCTTGGGGTACAGCTGTTATCTCTGAGTGAGGGAGGTGCACAGAAGGCGCTACAACACTGGGGAAGATAAGGCTCCAGGAGATAAGAGGTGTAGAAGACAACAGGATGATTTCAGTAGTTGAAGGGCAGTGAATGTAATTGAGGTTTTTGAAATGTTGTGCTTGATCCTCATCAAATTGGTAAGGCTTCAATGGAGACACTTAAAAGTGGGATTGTGACTGAAAACTAGGAAGAACAGCTTAATTTCTGAAAGAATTGTGGAGAAAATAGGTATTGATCCCAGTCCATTTGTCTGGATGCCCTGGAGGAGAAAAGCATGCAACAAAAAGCATGCTAAAATTTGCATGAAAGGATGATCATTAATGCAGAACAATATGAGATCACTTACTTTTGGAAGTTCTGGGAGTAGTGATGAAAAAGACTCAAACCCAAAGTGAGACTTGGTCAGGTATCTTCCAGTGTAATATTGTGTAATACTGGTTTTTCAGTGTGAGCTGCAGCCCAGATAGCTGGTCTCATCAGGAAGTGTAGGTGTGAGGCTGCCAGTTACTGTGTCCTGAGATGATAATTATGTAGTTATTAACTTTGCTATAAGTGCAGTGGGTTGGTTTTTTCTGCAGTCTCAGTGCCTAACCTGGTCTTCAAGGATATTCATGGAGTGCTGTCTTGAACTTTAGACAAATATTGCAACAAATTTCAATTTGAGGGCTAGAGCTGCTTCTGCCCCCTGACATTCTTCCTGCCTTCCTGACAGATGTTACTGCCTTGAGGCAAAAACATCTAATCTGCTCATGAATCAGTTTGTGAACTGCTGCAGTTTTCAGCTCAATACATTGGATCGCATCAGGAGGGGTGCCAATTTCAGATATCAAATTTTAGTCGAATGTTGAACGTCTTTCAGAGACCTTGGATTCCTACAACCTACATAAATAGCTTCTTAATGTATTGTCAGATGTTTGCCCTTCTCATGCCTTCTGTTTGTGTATCTGCCTTTGTTCTCACACAGCATTTCATTCTGCATTTTACAATTTGTTTTATGGTCATCTTAAATCTTTGCTTTTTCAACAGTTCTTTATCTATGGCTTAGAGAACTTGATCTCAGTCATCATATTTCAAGAATACAAAATGCACACAATTTTTAAAAAACCACAAAAAACTAGAAAAGGGCCACCTGGAGGTTGAACTTCGGAATTTTAATTATGTGTGAATGAGAACCTGTGGTTTCTGGGTTTTGTTTGGTTGAGGTTTTTGAATTTGGATTAACCTGCTAGTGTTCTGTTGTGCTTCTGCACTGTGCAAACAGGCTGTTGAGTTTTTCATTTTGTTTCATCTATCCTGGCAGACATAACATTACAATGGCTTATTCAGCACTCCAAATCAAGAAACTGTTGAAGAAACTTCTGCTGAAGATAACTCTTCCCCAATCACTTTGACTCCTATCAGCTATACACACAGAAAAGATAAGGAATGCAACTGTCTACTACCAGGACTCACTGTGGTCATATTTGTTAATGGAAGTAAATCTGACTTGTAACTTGTCTGTCTATTTTGATTATTTTTTTTTTTATCCAGATATTTGTCTGCCTAAGTGAAATTCCTGAACGCCTTAATACAAGACTGGAAGAAATCAATAATTTTTTGAGCTGAAATGTTTTGAGTTAATGCATGCAAATTGTCAAATACATAGTAATTTTTTTCTAATTTGAAACTGAATAAATTGTGCAGTGGAAACAAAAGACCTTTTTTTTGAATGTAGCATATAATTATTCACACAGAATCTGTTCCCTCCAAATACATCTACTTAAGTATTAATAATCAATTAAAACTATAATAAAGAGCTTCTTACATGAACAAAATGTTGCACAGTCCTTGGAACTCAGGCTTTGTGGTTTTCTGAAACCTAACCCTAGACCTGCCAAACTGAAAAGAAAACCGGTACAAAATAGCTCTCTCTCTAAATTTTTGCCCGGCACCCGTCTCAGCCCAAGGGTTCCACCTTAGGGCTAGGGTTACACCTAGGGTTAGGGTTCAGAAAACCACAAAGCCCAGAGCACCAAGCACACTGCAGCTACAAATGGCATGCCAAGGGGAACAAAAATCTCTTATAACATGGCTCCTTCCATACCTTTCTACTTGGCACCAGACTCAGCCCAAGGTTCCTTTTGGTGCTCTACCTAGGGTTAGGATCCCGAAAACCACAAAGGCCAGAGCTCCAGGGACTGTGCAGCTACAATAGACCTGCCACACTAAAAGGTATTCTGCCACAAAATAGGTCTCTCCATAGCTTTGTGTTTGGCACCTGCCTCAGCCCAAAGCTCTTTTCCCTGCTCCACCTTGGATTAGGGTTATACCTAGGGTTAGGGTTATGCCTAAGGTTGTACTTTAAAAGCATTTTACTTATAGATGGTTATATACTAGTTTTTGACTTTATAGAGCAATACTCTTTTATGGGGAGTGCTTGCGAATCCAGATCAAGAGGTCAAAAGCAGAGTTATTGGTGGAGGATGAGATGTCCTTTCATCCTTCTTGCTCCTGGAGAGGGATGTTTTTACGATCTGTGGGGCAATGAGTAAGAACCAACATGATGTGATATCAAATACAGTATGATCAAATTTCCTCCATGGCAAGACATGGTATTGCACTATGCAAATCAAATTAATTGTGTCATCGTAGACCACACATCACTACTAAATTAAAAGACAACAGTATTGCAGGCTCTCAGAAGATATGGTCATTTAAAAGCCTCAGGGCATGGGATAGAGTAGAACTACTTTTTTTTTCCTCCACTGTAGAAGAAAAGTGACATCTGTGAGGAGTCATACTCTGTTGTGTCAGCAGATACAAGAACTCCATGACAGACTGCAGACTAGATGTTGTGTTTTCAGCTTTCAGGAGAAGCCTTTCCAGATTACTTGTAACATACTGGCAATGATACCCTCAAAGCAGCGTGCTCTGCATTTCTCAGTTGGACTCCTGCTAGACAGACGTTTTCTCCTGAAACTCAGACAAGTGATCTGACCATTGTTTATCCTGACTTTAACCCTTTTCAAGAGCTGCTGTTTATTTCCATTATCTCTACACTTTGCTTCCTGGCAAAATGGGTATAATCCAAAGAGTCCTCTTGGTGCTAATGTCATCATGAGAGAAAACATCATACCCCACTTCTTGAGGACACTGTCTTCATTGCAGTATCACATACAGGATCCCAAGAAGAAAAGGGGATCTGGAATTGGGGTAATGAGAAAATATGAAGAGGAAATGCAGTCCAAGTTTTATGGGCAATGTGGGAGGACATGAGTTTGTGGTGTGCTACCATCAGGGACAGTCACTTCACCAGCCCTCAGTTCTGCAAAGAGCTGGGGCAGAACCAAGCAGCTGACAATGGCAGCCCTTGAATGCTGTGTGCAGTGTCCAAGCCCCTCACTTTTCCTAACCTTTCCTCTACCTCTGTGGCTGCATTTTTCTGGCCCTGGCAGTGCTGCCTCTCTTGCCTTTTCAGGTGTGGCTGCTGAGCAGGTCTTCACCAACTCTGGGTGAAGGGAAGAAAGCTGATGCTGCCATAGTCATGTGGCAGCTGAGGGGATTGGCCAGCACCCTCCACAAGGCTCAATACTGCAAGGCCTGGAGATCTGTAAGTGCTCCAGAAAGAATCTATCAAGATAGTCCATTTTGATATTTATTATACACTGTGCCATTTAATTCAGCTTGTAATACCACTCCACATCTGACAGCCTTCAGTATGTGCCATCTTGGATCATTCCTCAGCACCCCAGAGTTCAGCCCCCAAAACTATCACTCTGCCTATTTTCTTGGTATGCAGCAGAAGGAAAATGCCCTGAGCGCTCTGGGTCTGACTGTTAATCTGACAACTGCCACAGTAAGACAGCTTTCATGTTTCTACAACCTCAGCTTCCATGCTGAGTGAAGGAAACCATTTTTATCATGCACCTATTTATCAGCTGATTTATCCCCTTGTGCTGTATAGAAAAATCTGCTGGTTTTCTGGAGGACCTCCTGAGGAGCGGAGAAATGGGTTGGTCAAAAAGTAAGTTTCATTTGCTTCGAAAAATTGCATCATCTTTGAGAAAGATGAGTTACTGTCACTGTAAAGCAAGTCTACCATGAAATGAAATGGAGGAGAATGTGCTCTTAATAAAAAATTCTCAGGAGGGCTGTCTTCTGTTTCCAGGACCTGAGAATTTGATTTTGTTAGCTTTGCTTGTGAGGAAGCCAGATATTCCAGGCAGTAAACCTTTTAACTTTTTTATCACCTCAGACCCGATTTCTTTGGCTCTGCACCGTCTTCTCAGCAGTCTGAGATTTTTTCAGTGTTTATGACCCAACCTGTATTGAACTTCTGAAATGTTATGAATTGTGAGTTTCAACCTTTTTGGTTAGCAGCTGTCTGTTTTGTAAACGCACTAAGTGATAAAAAAAAAATGGATAGAACATAAAATATCTCTGTTTGTGGGTACTATTTTAGTTAATACAGTGACAATTTAATAAGTGCCTAACATCCAGAAGTGCTTTATGTTTTGCCCATGACCATCAGCAAATGTGCATGACTTATCTACGCAGCATTCATACCATTGCTAGTCTCCTTGGTCTGTTTCCTGCATGGTCTAGTTAAGTATAGCGTATTGCTCAGCATGGGTCAGCTTGGAAGTGACCACAGTGGATCATCAGGTCCAACCTCCCTGCTCAAGCAGGGCCATCCCAGAGCACACAGCACAACTGTCTTGTGTCCAGACAGTTCTGGAGTATCTCCAGTAAGGGAGACGCCACAGCCTGTTCTGGTATTTGGTCACCCACACAGTAAAGAAGTTCTTCCTCATGTTCAAGTGGAACTTTCTGTGCGTCAGGTTCTGCCCATTGCCTCTTGTCCTATTGCTCAGCACCGCTGAGAAGCACCTGGCTCCATTCTCTTGGCACCCTCCCTTCAGATATTTATAGGCACCTGATGAGGCCACCTCTCAGCTGTCTCTTCTAGAGGGTGAACAGGCCCAGCTCCCTCAGTCTTTCCTCTTAATAGACATGCTCCAGTCCCTCAATTATCTTTGTTGCTCTGCTGGACCCACTCCAGGGGCTCCATTTCTCTTGTCCTGAGAAGCACAGGCTTGAACACTGTGCTCCAGGTGTGGCCTCACCAGGGCTGAGTAAAGAGGTGGGATTGCCTCCCTTGATGTCTGTCAACGCTCCTAACGCACCCTGGGATTCCACTGGCCGTCTTGGCTACAAGGACACACTGCTGTGGCATTGACAGTTTGCTGTCCAACAGAACCTCCAGATCCCTCTCTGCAGAGTTGCTTTCCAGCAGGTTGTTCTCCAGCCAGTACTGGTAACTTGGGTTTATTCTTTCCCAGATGCAGAACTCATTCAGGCTTGGAGGCAGAAGAGGAATTGGAGGGCATTTTGATCAGTGGAAAAATGAAATCACCCTGTGTGTCCTTAACCTTCTTTAACTTTTCAAATTCTCTTCATTCTCATTTCTCTGATAACCAGGAAGTCCTAAAGCTGTTTTTCATGCATTTGACAAAACACTATTACATGCTTCATTTGCATCAATTACACAAAAAGCAGAGCTGAATGGCCTGTAAATGGGGGTAGAATGATACCTTTAGCGCTTCAAGAAAGCAATATTTAATAAAGACTACTCAGAAAGATCTATCATGCTAGCACCGACCATTCTCTCTGAAAATACAGTGCTTTAGAAACAGAGGAATGCAGAAAGAGAATGGAAAACACTTATGACTTACATTTTAAAGATATTGCTAAAGAGATTAGCAATTAATCCCATACACATTTGCAATTTCATTGCTCGGAGTATTTCTTTGAAATCACATTATAGTGAGGTCACTGAAGCCCTTTTTTCTTTTATGATAATACCATCATCTGGAAATATTTTATGAGTGGGTTTATGCATTTCTATAAACAAAAACCAACAAATTAAAAGAATTGAGGAACAAGGCAGACTTTATTGGAGTGATTATCATTCATAAGGGCTTTGTTTTTTTACTAATTTTCTGACTGGTGTGAATTAATTAGTTTTCATTAAAAAAAAGTCAAGCTATCACACTGCCTTACATGTACCAAAACAAAGTTCAAAGTTGCAGTTCAGTCTATGTTGAACTAAGCATAAAAGAGGAAAACACAGACAAAATAATGCTGCAATAGTCAAACTGTTGGGAAACTGATTGCTAATTAAATCTGTCATAACTGTCAAAATAACTGTGCAATACAGTAGAGAAATGAGACTCCAAAGTCACATGCAAGAAATCTGAGCATCAGAATTTCTCAGTTTACTTAGGCTGTACACTAATAAACCAATTCTTTAAAATGAGTTGAAAGATGAGGGAACAGCAGGAGATATTTTCACACTGCATGGAAAAAAAGGTATTAATAATTTTAGTGGGTATTTTTAATGACATTTAATTGCTGTACTTTAGGTCTTAAACAGAGGATTATAATGGGCACTGTAAAATTTTTGCCATTAGTTTTCAGTGCAATAAAATTAAATGTCTGACGCTGAGCTGATATAAATCAGTGAAGTCAGTGGAGTCACAGATACACTGAGGCTCAAGTCCCTGCACATCAAGTGCAGCCAATCTGCTCTATCGAACATCGCAAATAGGAAAACATGCTGTGTGAAACCTGGAGTGGGAATGGCATCTTTTGGGGAGAAGAACTGGAGGTCATCATTGCTGACTGAGGTTTGCTGGTCCAGGGGCTAA